GGGGGGGGGGCGGCGCACGCTGCATGGGGGCTGCCCTGCCATGCTGGCCATGCTGTGCTGTGCTGTGCTGTGCTGACCGGGCGAGGCCGGCTGCGCCTGCCCGGGCCGCTCGCCCAGCACCAGCCGGCCTCCTGCCTCCCTGGCAGCCTCCCCGCCGCTTCCACTGGCCCCTGATCCTCCCTCGTGCCTCCCCCTGCCCTCCTCCTGCCTCTCCTGCCTGCGGGGCGGCCCTCCCCTCCCCCTTTCCTCCCGCAGGAGAAGGACGAGTTTGTGGAGAACATCATCGCCGACATCGGCCGCCTGGGCCTGCGCTACGAGCGCATCACGTACACAAGCGACTACTTCCCGCAGCTCAAGGAGTGCGGCGAGCGGCTGATCAGGGCGGGTGGGTGTGGCAGGCGGGTGCGGTGCTCGGCTGGGGCTGGGACTGGGGCTGCGGCTGTGTGTGGCTTGGGGGAGATGTGCTGGGGCTGGTAGGCGGGCTGCCGGGTGAGCAGGCTCTGGCTGCCCACATCGTTTCCTCGCGCTCCCCAACTGGCCGCGCCCTCCCCTATGCCCACCCATCCCTTCCTTTTCAACTCACACACACCAACAACCACGCCTCCCCGTCCCGGCCCTGCCACACGCCGCAGGCCACCTGTACGCCGACGACACCCCGGTAGAGCAGATGCGGGAGGAGCGCATGGTGGGCACGGAGAGCGCGCGGCGGGGGCGCAGCGTGGAGGAGAACCTGCGCATCTGGGGGGAGATGTTTGCGGCCACGGAGGAGGGTGAGCTGGCTGGAGTTTTATAATGGGTGGGAGGGGGGTATGTTTGCGGCGACACAGGAGCAGGGGTGACTGGAGGTGGTGGTGGTGGTGGTGGTGGTGGTGGTGGTGAGAGATGATTTGACTTGACTGGTGGTGGTGGTGGTGATGCCTCCCCCTCAGCAGCGTGTGTGAGGGGGGAGTGTTCACAGCGGCATGTGAGGTTGAGCTGGGGCGAGTGCCTGTCAGGCCGCCCCCTGTCACACGCGCGGCCCGCCGCGTCCCCGCCGCGCCCTATCAGGCCTGAAGAACTGCATGCGCATCAAGCTGGACATGTCTGCCGCCAACAAGGCGCTGCGCGACCCCGTCGCCTTCCGCTGCAACCTCACGCACCACTGGCGCACGGGGCACGAGTACAAGGTGGGGCTGTGTGGGGCTGTGGGTGTGTGTGGGGGGCGGTGTGTAGGTGGTGGCGAGGGCAAAGGCCCGGGGGTGCTGTCGGGGCTCCCACGCAGCCCGCCCGCCTGCGTTTCTGCGGGGCGTGTGCGCCGCCCGCCAACGCCCCTCTACCCTCCCATATACGACACCCCTGCAGTGCTACCCCACCTACGACTTTGCCTGCCCCTTCACCGACGCTCTGGAGGGGGTGACCCACGCGCTGCGCACGTCAGAGTACAAGGACAGGGAGGCGCAGGTGTGTGGGTGTGTGTTGTGGTGGGTGGGTGGGTGGTGGTGGTGGTGGTGGTGGTGGTGGTGGTGTCTGTGAGGGGGGAGCTCTGTGCCGTGTGTGTGGCGAGTTGCGGCTGCTCCCTGG